TTTAAATTTTCAATTATTTTTAACGTATGTGCAATATTAATATTTGGATTTTGAAACATTTTACTTATTTATTATGCGATTTATTCTATTGAGCAAATCATGCCAGGAGAGCTAAAAAAAACTAGCTTTCATGTATTTCATGTTGGATTTTTTAAATTTTAATTTAATTTAATTTTTCATTATATACAATACCAAAAGTTGTGGCGTAAAATTCTCCTTATTGATATCGTAAGACCCGAATTGTATTCATTCTTGTTTTCCCGTAATTGTGATAATTTTTAACGTATTTTAGAAGTATTGTCCAAAAATCAGTAAAAAAAAATGAACAAAAAAGAAAATACACATTTTTTTAACTATATTGAATTTTTTTTTATTATATTCGATATGTATTATTTCTGCATATTTAATAATTATTAAATTTAGAGTATGGACACCACTAGGTATAAAAAAAGCCTTAAGATTTTTGTTCCAAAGTAAATTTTGCTTTCATTTTTTAGATTTGTTCCATTTCCATAACCCTAATCACGCATGTCTTCAACATTCAAATTTCATCAGAAGCGAAACATTTGGAACAAAAGCAAAAGTTACAATTCAATTTCTCGGAATAAACATGCCATTTTCTAAGCACTGACTCCCCATTTTTTACTTTCCCGATTATTCCCGATTAATTTGTTTATATTTTTAACAAGTTCCGTTTCAACTAAATCAGCTCGCAATTTTTCGTCAATAATTTCAAACTTTGTAGGTTTGAGCTTACGGGATTGAACACTAGATTCTTTCTATATATATATATATATATATATATATATATATATATATACAATGTGTTGACGTTTAGATATTAATTGTAATTTATATGTTAGGTATTAGCAAAACCATAAATAGCATATTTTTTAAATCGTACCTTTTACAATAAATATTTGCTCAGTTGAACACCATACATGGATCAAAGAATTTTTGTGCCTGATTAAACTGTCCTTTCGTGCTTCAATGAAATCACGGTTGATCGCTTCATTGACTCGACGCAAAATTAGGGTGAGATGTCATGTACTAACAAAACTAAACACTCCTAAAACGTACGTTTCCAGTATGCCTGAATGATTTAGGCTCTTTTCTTACTTGACCAGTATAATCCTTTTGTAACAGTTTTGCTTTGAAATTGACTAACTTAAAAAAAATCGATAATAAAAAAATCCTTTAATTAATTCATATAATCTTATGAAATGTGCTCATGTGCAATAAGTATAGACGAAAAGTAGTATTTAAAAGAAAGTTTAATTATTTATTGTTTAAATGTCTAAATTATAGTTATAACTTTTGTGGAACTCTTTTTGTTATATTTCTGTATATTAAATAATTATGTATGATATAAGGTTCAATTTAATTATAATTAAAAATATAATTTTATGCTAGCTACGGCATGTTAGTTGAAATAGGTCCTTACCATAGTAACGTTAAGCATGCGTTTCCAATATCGCGAAAGAGTGGCCACTAACAAATACTACATTCTACCCGTCTGTCGTTACTTCAAATTGAAGCAATTATTACATCTGGCACACGCACCGCACGCACCTTCGTTTGTTTAGGTATTATAAATATTCATTAACTACATAATTGATATTACAGTTCATTAACCACCTTGTTGAATTTTCGGTTATATTACTAAATGATATATGGACTAAAAATAAGGCCCAAACTTGATTCCAACATTTAGATTTTCAATAATATTGCATATCAATTATAATTTCTTTCAATTATTTATAGAAATATTTTTTTTAAAAAGTACAAATATCAATATTAATTATCGACAAGATCGAAACTTAATACAATATTGCGTATCAATAATACATAATTTTATTTAATTATTTACTGAAAATTCTTAAATATTAATTAGTTTATAATATTTGTATTATTATTTTAAATCTGATTTGTTAGAAGTTTTGACATTAAAAATTGCCATAATTATTGCAAATTGAATGCAGTAGAAGCAAAGGTAGTTATGGTACTTTTAAACATTAATGAACTCCCAGGAGCTTTTAAATATTGAACGTTGAACTTAAGTCATATATTGTTGCTGCATGCAACCAACGAAATCTGCGCACGGTACTCAAGTGCATAACTCGAGTTCTTATTGCGGATGTTTATTTTAGTTATGGTGTCTGTCTCTTTAGATTTATTAAAATAGACAATAGCAAATTCTCATTATTTCTACGTGTGTGCATTTAACACTCTTAACTGAAAACTTCTACCTTAAGAACTGGTGAGATTAGTATTTACTTTTTGACTAAATTGATAATATGCAACGCATAACAATTAAGGGTAAATATATTATAATTAAACTGTAAAACAATTTAATTTTTTTTAAATGTGGATGAACAAATTACAATATATTTTATGGAAGATATATATAACATACACTCACACACACACACACACACACACATATATATATATATATAATAAAATTGTTTCTTGGGCATCCATCCAGTAAATAAAAAACAGTTTTAATGAAAAATGTTTTTATTTAGAGAACATACGTTTCGGGTCTTGATTTGACCCATCTTCAGGGCTACAATTAAATAATTCAGGGTTACAAATTAAAACAATATAAAAAATACATAATTAACAGACAAAAATAAGTAAAACAATGTATATGAAAAGTATATATGAAAAACAACAATAAAATAAACAACTGTAAAGAAACTCACCATACAAAAAAACTTTGAAAAATAACACAAAATTGCACGAAAAAAATAAATATGAAATAAAAAATTGATAAAACGTCGAGTATGAAAATTTATAAAATAAATAAACGTTTTGTCAATTTTTTATTTTATATTTATTTTTTTCGTGCAATTTTGTGTGTTTTTGTGTTATTTTTTAAAGTTTATTTGTATGGTGAGTTTCTTTACATTTGTTTATTTTATTGTTGTTTTTCATATATACTTGTCATATACATTGTTTTACTTATTTTTGTCTGTTAATTATGTACTTTTTATATTGTTTTAATTTGTAACCCTGAATTATTTAATTGTAGCACTGAAGATGGGTCAAATCAAGACCCGAAACGTATGTTCTCTAAATAAAAACATTTTTCATTAAAACTGTTTTTTAATTACTGGATGGATGCCCAAGAAGCAATTTTATTATATTATTTCACCATCTGAAGAAAAACTTCTCGCTTTATATATATAATATATATATATATATATATATATATATATATATATATATATATAACATTATTCGTTCGTTAAACTAAATACTTCTAAATTACTATTATTATTATTATTATTTCTTTCTTTGTTTGTTTTTTCTTTTTTTTTTTGTTTTATATAACTGTTATTGTTATATTGTTACAATTCTTAATAATTAGTTATTTAAACACTTACAATTTAAAAAACAAAAAAATTTGAGAAACATTTTTTTTTTTTTTTTCTTAATTATTATTTTCATAAGACTGTTATTGTTAAAATACTTAATAATTAGTTAACTAAAAACTTATAATTCAAAACACTTTAAAATTGTGAAACAAAATTTTAATTTTTTATTTTGACTGTTATTGTTAAAATACTTAATAATTAGTTAACCAAAACTTATATTTAAAAACACTTAAAAATTGTGAAACAAAATATTTCCTTCATCAAAATACCTAAAAATTTGTAAAAGAAAAAAAAAATTGTAAAAATATTTGACAATAACAATAAAAATGATAATGATAATATTAATAATAATAATAATTACAATAATATAAGATACTTAAATTTGTTAAAATATCATAAAATAACCTAAAATTTGTTAATATTGTAAAAGTATGTATTGTAAAGCTTATTAAAATTACTTATTAAATTTTTAAAAACACTTGTAACAAACAAACTAGTTATATTTAAAAAAAAAAGAAAATATAATTAAGTAAATATAAATAAGTTTATAGTAAATAAATTAAGTAATAAAATAGCTAATAATTAATTAAATTATATTAAACCTATAAAATATTGACTTAAGCCTTATTATAATATTAAATATTATACCGACGGCTTGTAAAAATAAATAAATAAATAAATAAATAAATATATATATATATATATAGTTTAAGTTTTTCTAGATAGTTTTCTAATATTATTTATGATTTCATTTTTATGAACCAATTGTAAGAGCTTTTTTAAATAATAAATTTAAAAGTAATGAAAATAATAGTAATTTGTTATTTGTAATTATTACCACGTTTCGGGGATATGGGAGTCTTCTCTTGGGAAACTTTAACGTATTGAAATGAAAAATGTTTTAAAATGTACATTTACTGAAAATTTAATAATACATTCAATAAAAAATATATATAAAATAAAATTTTATTTACTGAAAAATATAATATATAACATTTTTAATTCAAAATTTCTTCCAAATTCTGATCGTGACCTTTTGTCGTTTTAGTTTAATTTCTTTACAATATTTTGATTTTTGTTACCTTTTTTTAATTCATTATTAATATTTTTTTGCTTGTTTCTACCCTTTCTTGATTCATCTTTTTTTCAACTAGCTAATATTTTCAAGAATTCGATATTAGATCAGCATTTGTGAACCCCGTTGATTTTATAACGTTTTACTTTGCATTTCGTTTCCTATTTACAATTTGTTCTTTTGTGATTGAATACATAATTTTTTTATTTAACTTTCAGTATATTATTTTATTTTATTACTTTGTTTTTTATCATTAAACGATGTCTTTAAATTTGCGAGAGCGTTTTTTTTTCAGGTTTGGTATGAGTTGATATTTTTTATATTTGTTATATAATATGTATATAATATAATATATATTAAAAATCTGGAAAGACAACTTTTATTTTAATATATTATAATTTTCTGTCGGAAGAAAAGTATTCTCCTGCGTACTGAGTACGTACCTGTGTCATAGCGATGCCCTAACGCTGAGTCCGCCATCATCCGCAGAGTACGGTGTCGCTAGTGGTCTCGATAGAGTCCATAAACAACGCTCCCGTTATTTTCCCATCATGTCTCTATGTTAGTCAATACGTGACCTCTCCGTAAGCCATTTCGTCGTTTAGACGCAAACTAATTTTTTTTAGTACAATCATTGTTACATATCGTGCAAGACATTGTTAATTTTTAAAGTGACATATGTGGATTCAATTATAACAGGTGATTATAATTTATCAGAAACGTGTGATGTGTTTAGTTTAGCCAAAACAACAAAGTGACATATTAAAGTTAAAAAGGGAATATTGATTAGCATCCGCCGCCATGAGGTAGCGCTTGAACGCTTGTTAAATTTTTAGGATCTTATCGTTGAGGTTATGTCTAAAAAATTAATTACCCCGGAATGTCATCCACAGCCAGCATTTTCTCTCAAAATGTCATTATGCATGCATCGAACTTTTCACTATTTATTTCAGATATTTGTGATGGCTACATACGCATATAACGAAGTTTATTTTCGAACAAGTACATACATATAACGGTGTTGTGATTTCAGAATATATGTAGTACATATCAAAATTAAACAATGGTAATCATAATCCACCAATTATTGAATTAAAATAACTCCATGGTTTTGAATAATCAATTTAATTAAATACTTTAATATTGAAATATGGCTTATATTCTGAATTTATAGCATTCTAGAAGTACACGGAATCCTGAATTATGTTGCTACTACTACATGGCTTAATACCTTGTTTTTAACGAACAATATCTAAACATTACATCTTTAGCATTATTTTTGTTACAAATTCTCTTCTTTTTAATAATCTAAATTACTTCATCTATTTCTCTTATTGTTATAAATGCTTAGTTTGCAAAGGCATCCAAAGTAAATATATTAGTAAATATATTAATTTTGCATATTTGCTGTTGTGGTGCTCGATGCATTTGTACATCTAATATCCTATTCCCTTTGAGCTTATATTATGTGTATACATTTATATTAATTATGTATATATTGCTTCTTCCTATGCATTTAACCCTCTCAATTTATTTTAGATCTAACATCGATATCATTAATTTTGAGCTTGCACTATTTACCCAGAATTGGCAGTAAAGTTATTATACTTGTGGTAGGTACTGCAACAAATCTGCTAAAAATATGAATTATATTTGTGTAATTATTGAATGTTTCATAATTATTTGTAGTATCCAGAGTTCAAAAGAAGTTCCATAAGCTATAATTAGCAGTAGGGATGGACCTTCCTGCTATAAATGATGATCCCAATGTCACCCTCACAATACGGCTTATTATGCAGGGCAAGGTAAAGATAGTGTACTTATTAAAATGTTTTTCAACTATACCGTTCAGATATCGTGGTATGCCCATTTCTCATAAATATATTAATACTTAAAATTTGAATAGATTAGTTTGATCTATATATACTAGCATGCTGTGCCACATTTTCTTATCGTTTATGAACAAAGATGGAACCGTGAAAGTTGGTATATGAATCCTATTAATTCATTGTGATTTGAATTTGAAGAACATAAAACATTAAATTTTTAGTATAATTTATAGCAATCAAATCTATTTTTTAATAGATGTAATAAAGGATTAGTAAATAACCATAAACTTATAAATTGGCTACTGATGGATGTTAACATAAAAAATATAAGTGGTCATATTTAATAAAAATAAAAACAAACATTAATTTTATACAGAAATAAAAATAATCTAAACAAATAGACTTACAAGGAAACCCTCAGGTTTACTCTTCTGGGATTTTGATGAAACTTCACATGGTGGTAGAGTTGACAGTCAAACCAAACCTTGTAAAATATTTTAGGCCTATGAAAAGTGGCTTAATTATAAAAATTAATTAAATTTGCCAAAAATAGACCGTGCGTTATATGTACGCTTAATAGTGTTCCTTATCCTTATATAATTAGTATTCCTTAATATGTACTCATAGCTGTGCTCGTTAAAGCACTTGCTCCCACGTTTTGCATTCGGATTTATAAATGTTGATTTATTTAGAGTTGAAAGTAACTGAGTTCGAATATCACCAACTTATAATTTAATTTTTGTTTTTTTTTTTTTTAAACTTATTTTTAGGTAGAATAGTTAAATATCGCAAAAATATTTATACTTATTAATTTAAATCATATAATTTGCGAACAAAAATTGAATTATTTTATACATATTTACATTGGGTAATAACAATAAAATATTTTTATTTATAACATTTTTGGCAACTTTATTAATTTTTATAATTAAGCCACTTCTCATAGACCTATAATATTTGACAAGGTTTGGTTTGACTATCAACTCTATCACCATGCAAAGTTTCATCAAAATCCCAGAAGAGTAAACCTGAGGGTTCCCTTGTTAGATAAAATAATAAACAAAAATACAAATAATTTCTGATTCCGTTAGATTGTTTAGTTCGTTCTGTTTATTTTGTCCATAAGTTAAGTGTTCAGCAGCATTGAATTTTCTTTTTATACTTCTTCGAATTCGTCACTATCGATACTAATGATCGTAAATAATCATAAGAATTTAAGTAAATGATATAAATAATCTAAAACATATTCTGTTGCATATTCTTAAATATATCAACACTAATACTCAATGTTATGAGGATTTGCAGTATACCAATTGTAATAACAAATCCCAGAAACATAATTAATAAGTTATCAAAGTATTGCAAATGTGCCTGACTGTTTTGTGTTTAGTATATGTCACATTTTATTTTTAATTTGGCCATGAAAAGTTATATATATATATACCTACATACTTCCATCATGCTGTTTTTGACTAGTAATGAAGGAACAAACGTTAGTCTTAAAATTAATTTGATATTATGGAAGATCATTTTAATTTCGATTTTGAACCCGTAGTTCAAGTTATGATAATCGCAAAATACTTTGACATGCATATCTTATTGTTAAAAAAATGAATGTATGTCTGGCATGTGTGCGTGCGTGTGCATGTATGTATTCTCGGATACAATTTTATGTCCACGATTTCGAGCGCGGTTTCGGAAACACAGAGCAAAAAGTTAAAAAAAATCATAGTTGGCGGTAAAAAATGATCGTTAGGCATATCCACATCTGATTATTAGATATTTTATAAAGATTTCAATAAGTCCTAATTTTGTTTACATTTCTGTGTTCCGTACTAAGCTTTATAATGTTTAATTGTTAAAGGCTGCGACTCGGCGCTTATGTGTATCGATATTTTGTCTCTAAAACAGTTACGCAGCGCAAACATTTTTTTAGGAATTACAATATTATCTTAAATATTCTAAATTTAATATTTAAGTAGAAGAAATACAGTATAAAATTATTTTTTAATATTATATTCTGTTAGGATCCGTTAAATTGTGATACTTTATTTTTGAGTCGATTTATGACATAATATATTAATTTATAATAATTTTATTCAACAGGAAATAGAAATCAGAAATTTAAACTATTATTATTATATTACACGATTGATTACTAACTCTTAAGTTCTAATATATTAGAGGAGTTTCATTAGGGGTTTCATTATTTTCTTTATATATATTTTTTGTTCATGTTTCAGCTTAAATACGCGCAAAAAATAGGTATTTTTATATAAAAATTGAGCTTTTGTCATTAAAACTAAAGTAAGAGTTTGATTCACAGATCAATCAGTTTATTCATTCATTTTATAAATGATTAGAAATGATTTTTTCGGTAAAATAATCTTTAAAATAATATTATGAATTTAATTATGTAATTTGAAGCTAAACACATCATGTGTCCATCGACTGGCCCTTCGTTGTTTATTTAAGTGAATATTATGTGCATTACACGGACCCTTTGATTTTCACGCGCTGGTCGATATTGGCCCTTCTCCGCCCAACAAATATCTTGGCAATTCCTTGTACAAAAGCCTTTGATCGCGATACAAAGTAATTAGGTTCTGCTTCAATAACATGTGAAAGTCGCTTGAAAAGCCTAGTTCGTTTCGTTGTCACCGTAATGAATTTTCATTAATTATGAAGTAATGCAAAATAATTTTTCGGTTCAATATTTTATTTAGTAATCGTTAAGTTAAATTTTGATAAGTCGGCTATAGTTTAAAGTATACATATGTCAGAAACATATAATTAAAAAAATTATATATAATACTTTGCTCAATATTTTAAAACGTATGTGCTTCAGGATTTTCTGTTTTACCCATTCAAAAATATTGTCTGACTGCAAATAACGAAGCAAATGCATTCCCTATTGAAATTGCTGATTACTGCCTACCCTTATTTTTCATTTTAGCAGTTACAGTTGAACCTCGTTTATCCGAACGTCAGTTACACGGATTCGCCATTATCCGGACTACTAACCGCGACTAATTTATATATATATATATATATATATATATATATATATATATATATATATATATATGATATTCAGTTTTCAGGGCAATACATCAATTAAAAAAATTGTATGTTTTTTTAATTGATGTATTGCCCTGAAAACTGAATATCACATATTTCAACATCAAAATTATATAAAAAATTTAATATATATATATATATATGTACATATATATATATATATGTACATATATATATATATATATATATATATATATATATATATATATGTACATATCTACAATTCAAATTTTTGCACGATTAATGCTGCAGTTTAGTATACGTATGTAATATAATATAAGAAAATGTACATACATAAGAAAGTTTCAATTTCTTAATAAACATTATTTTCGCTTATATCTACGTATGTATTTGTTATTTTTAATAAATGCACAACATTATTCTTTATACATTCAATTATCCGGATTTTTGATTATCCGAATGCCTATCCACATAATTAGTTCGGCTAATCGAGGTTCTACTGTACTATTATTAAATTTAAATAAAAGCTGAAGTAGAAATAACAAAATGTTAATTTCATTATTTTTGTTGCATACTGCTATGAATTATATCTCGTCCCGAGCAGATAATTTGACCTAATCTGTTCTGTTTTTGGTAGATCAAGATGTGACAGAATATAACTAGCCGTAATTTTCCATCTAGCCTGAAATCTGCTAAGACCTAAATTTCTTGAACAGTGACACAGCAGTTTTTAATTTCAAACATAATACCCTTGCGGAATTATGATAATCCTCGCATTTTTTCGAGATCGATTTTTTTCTTCCTAAAACGCTCTCGCGAAAAACTGTTCATGTTGTGTGCTATAAATAGAATCACTTTTATTATCCCTCTCCCTTTGTGTCAGTCTTTGTTTCACGAATGGAAATTGATATAGAGAGATTTTCTATATCCGTCGAATATTAGATAAAGTTCATATGAATATTTCAATACGTAATTGAGGACGACTTTTTAAATAAGGAAATTGCTCAAGATTTATTTAATAGAGGTATATAAATATTGAAAGTGAAGTTCATGCTTTTGAGAAATTATTTTTTTTTTTTTTAAACTTGTTTTTACACGCAATGAAAGATGGTGGAAGCAAAATGAATTGAGAATATCTCCCTTATGACACGGTACTTTTAAAGTACGGGTTTGCTCTAACACGGTTTGAGATTTGACTAAAACCCTAATAAAATAAGAAATATTCAATTATTAAAACCTATCAAAATCAAACTTCATTTAATCTAAAGTCGCCGTACAATAGCTTAATAAATGTGATGGAACTAATACAAAAGATAACTAATTTGATATTATTATTCGAACGCGTACGTTCTGTCGAGATACAAGTTTTAGGATTATCCGAACAATTAGTCAATTAGTCTTAAACAAAGATTGTTTAAATAAAATGAGCATAAAATTTTAATGAAGAAAACTTTGTATATGGTAAATATATAAATAGCTTTTCGCTAAAAGCAAGTAATCGCAAATATTTTTTTGCAAAAAATAATGCACAAATCTGGAGGTAGTACAGAAAACTTACTTGTTAATTATGACGAAAAAATTATATAATTCATGTAATGTATATTACTTCTTAAAAAAATGAATAAATGTAACAATATTTATTATAAAATCATGATATGTAGAATGTTTTTTTTAATTCTTGGAACGTAACCCCTCTTTTTGTACTAGTTCTTTTTCCGTATAACACGGATTCGCATAACACTCTAGTTTTTTTGGAAAGTATGTACCGTGTTACCTGTATACACTAATTATTTATTATATGTAATATCGCCATTTGAAATCTCAAATTTATGGTTATTAACTATATTTTATTTATAAATTAAATATAGTTTGTAAATCTATTAAAGTAGATCTAAATTTCGTATTGATGGCATCATCTTATCTTTTTTTTGATT